TTATGATGCAAGAAGAGGGGCTATGGTATTCCATGATGTATTATTATACCCCACTCCACAAGTTTTATACGTAAGGAGGCTTCAACACGTAATTAATCCAATGGGGGGGGGGTGTTAGGGTTGTATTAGGGGATTGAACTTGTATGCGGGGTATAGAATACTATTATTCAAAAATCTCAAAGTCAATGCCGTTTCTCTATATTTCGCGTCATATAGTACGAATTATATACATATTTCAGAAAATGCATTCGAGTGTACTTGAATACAGATAATATGTTAATTTTATTTGCAAGTATTTTCGCAGGCTAGATCGTTGGTTATCCCATCGGTAAACGGATTAACCTGGTTTCCAGCAGGATTACAAAGTGACCTCGAGAACAATATTTGGGTTGCCGATGGGAAACTTGGCTTATTGAAAGTGAAGCAAGATATCTCTTTCGAACAAGTAAGAAAGAAAGAGAAATAAATGAAGTTATTATTATTCTAACACGCATACATGGAAAGTAACCTGGTCGCCGTAGGAAATGTGATTAAGGTGTTAGTTTACACTTATTTATGTCTCTATACCTTTTACCTTGCTAATTTTTATTAACACCCCAGTCACATTTCCTACGGTGACCTTGCGGTCTATCATTTCTGCGGCCAGTTACATTTCTACGCTCGCCGTGGAATTTCTGCGCTCTCATACTTTTGCAGTCACATTTCCCAAGGCAGCTGCACGGTGAATTTTAAATTTCTGTTGATAAATAATACTTTTTCATTTTATTAACATCGGGACAATTTATAAAATTAATGTTATTCATAGTGCTAGAATATAATACCAAATGAAAAGTGATCGTGAAATATTAACAAATAATGATTCAATCTTGTTGAGCCAGTTGATTTCTACGGGGACCTCAGAAATGAACAAATATTATAACTCCGAGTTATAATTTCTACGGCGACCCTGCGGCCTGTAAAAAACTGGATACGCCGTACGGAGGCCGCAAGGCGAGCATAGTTTTCCTACGCTCGCCGCAGAAATACACTGATTTAACATTGTTCTGCGGTTGACGCGCGGCCTCCGTGCGACAAATGTGACTGGGGTGTAACTAGTACAGTATGCCAAAATTCCAGTACAAAGTTAATTACCTAATAAGTAAGTTATAAACAAAACTCAAGAATATGTTATAACTAGCATAATAGAATACAGTTATCAGAAACCCATGCCTCTCTATCGCTTCTAGGCAGACATACAAATGTTTCCATACCATGTGACATATATCATTTTAAAGCTCATCCAAAGTTATATTGATTTGCCAAATATGGTTCAACTCACAAATCTGAAAAAGTTACAGGCATTCAGAAACAGTTTTGACCTGAATGTGACTGAAAATATGGATGTTATCGTCAAAGGTAAGATGGATATTTGGTTGGAAAAGAGGACGAAGAGGGAAACTACTCGGGTTTACGTAAAAGACCGACCGCCGACCACCGACCACCGACCAGTCACTCTCCACAGTTGGGTACACGAAGTCGGTGGTCGGCTGTCGGTCTTTTACACACATATCAAAAGATGCAAAATTAGAAGAAAGTAAAACTAAAAGTGGGAATCCAATAACTATTAACTATAGTACCTTTACAAGGTCGTGATTTAAAAATGTATACTCATTTCAAATCACGATGAAAAACGTAACATCGTCGTGGTGTGAATGTCATATTTTTAAGTGATGTCTCTGTTGTTATAAGACCAACTTCATCCTTGTTAGTCACTTTGGATTGTGAAGAGAAAACTCACGTAACATTGCATTAAGTTCATTAATATGAAACGCAATAACAAAAAACACACTTACATTGTCGGTGTTCACGACGTAACGTAATGTTTGATTTCTCAGTTGTTAAACGTCAACTTGTAAAAACTACATTCAATATGACAAAAAAGCTTCCTCATGGTGCACTGAAATGGTTAGTCACTTTTAATCCCGATAAGAGAACGCACTTAACATTACATCGTGTTCAAAATTCAGTAGGCTATGACAATAACAAATCATGTTTATTTCGAAATTGTACATTAGATTTCAGTAAAAATTAGGATAGATTCCCGTAGAAACGATAGGTTGGCAATGGCTAATGGTAGGTCAGGAACCTAAGGCAGGACAATTAAATCCAGAGGAGACAGTCATGCCAAATTTGTTTGCTTGCCTTTCGTTGAAAGGAACAAAATCGGTTAAAAAACGTTGCCTACGATTGACATTCAAAATCGAAATATTAATATTTTAAGGCTACAAATATGGTCGGTCTTCAACATGATATGGTCGGTCTTCTACATGATATGGTCGGTCTTCTACACATTTTCTTCAAACCCTGTTTTGAGGCTACCAGTGGAAAACACCGACCGGTCGGTGGTCGGTAGGGTCGGTCTTTTTCGTAAACCCAAACTATTCCAAGGAAACTCTTCTAGAATGCTTTAAAAATGTTTTATGAATATTAAAAATACTACACATCCTTTAATGCGCTTTTAAGGGTATATCCGAAAGAACTGCGGGCATATCCGAAAGAATTGCTGCTGTCAACATGGCCTTGGGAGACACACCGACCATTAATTTGCTGTAAAACTAAACTTCATTTTTGGCTAAACACTAAATTTTGAAATGCCTGTTACTTTTTTTCTTTTGTGAGTTGAACCATGATACTTGGAAAATCAATGTAACTTTACATAAGCTTTAAAATGATACATGACACATTCTATGGAGACATTGGTGTATGTCAGCCTAGGGGGGGGGGCATACTTTCTGGACACCTTGTAGGTGATGTTAACGCGGATATCAGTGTCAGATGGATGACATGGTGAAGTTACACTCTTAAGATGGTGAAGTTAGGCACATAGAAATCAGTGCCACATGGATATAGGAACGCTTAGGTTAAAGTCCTCACTATTCATTTCTAATATGCTTAATTTGCACTTTATATAAAAATACAATGCTATATTTTATGAACCTTAATAACTTGGTTTGATACACAATATAAGAATATTGTATCTTTAATGTCACTGCCAGTAAAATGACTGAAAAAGAGCCGATTTCTGCTAGAAAATTCAACAAATAAGATTTATTTCTTCAAAAACACATAGTATGGTTAAACCAGTTAGGTTTTAGGTGTAAGAATGGCGCAATGTTACCAGCGTGCAAAATAGTCGATTTTTTTTCAATAAATCAAGCAGAACCTCAAAATGTTACCTTTCAAAAAAGTATGGATGCCATAAATTAACAGAGACCGATACGCTGGGTAGATTTTCTGACTATAGCACTCTACAACACATATATTTATTTACACTAATTTTAGGTAGCAACTAAAGACACTCAGAATGAAACCATGCAAGGATGTAATGACCTTATATTTGACTACCATGGTAATCTATGGATCACTGCACCATTTGGCCCCATTGCCCCACAAAACTTTACATCATTTATACTAATTTTAGGTAGCAACTAAAGACAATCAGAATGAAACCATGCAAGGATGTAATGACCTTATATTTGACTACCATGGTAATCTATGGATCACTGCACCATTTGGCCCTATTGCCCCACATAACTTTACACTTTTTTATTCAGAGAAGGTAATAGTCGTGATATTAATATTTTACCCCGGAATGCATGTCTTGGAGAGATGTAACTCTGCGTTACCACTAATATCATTGAAAAGTGCTGTCATCGTTCGTTACCACTAATATCATTGAAAAGTGCTGTCATAGCAAATTCTTTAGCAATTTTAGCAACTTTCAAAAACTGAACAAATGCGTACCGCTTAGACTGACATCATATTTTGCTGTGAAAATTATAAACTTATTATGACTTTCAAGTATTTCTTAGGACATATGTTACAATGGTAGCAAATAAATGGACTTATTTGTTATTACTAAGTTACAACACGTGTCATATATGTTAATGCCTTGTATTTTCTTAAATGCTAGAAATGGTAATGCATTTGTAAATGAAATATTCATAAATATTCTAGATTATTAGCCATATGAAAAATGTTAATGGTCGATGGCATAAATATTATGATGTCGCTATCGTGAATTAAAATAAATGATGTTTCAAGGTAGAATAAAAGCAAGCTTTGTTCACAACTGTCTCTATCTGCTTCCCTATTCAACATAACATTTTTGCTTTTTAGGAAGCTTCAACATATTGCCAATATACAATATCAGCAACGTTGTTGTTTCCTGTGTTACAGAAATAGCATTTGAACAGGGACGCTTCTTTTTGTAGGCCCCGTTCTGTAATAAAAACAAAACATTTTAAATTAAATATGGTTGCCTCGTTTCATTCTTAAGAATGCTATATAGCTGCCTCGTTTCCTTGAGAAACATGCCTCGTTTCCTAAGTGAGAGAATTGATATGTAAATATCTCAGCAATGCCAGTATTGATTTCTAATTTGTAATCATATCATAAAACCGGAACTCATGAACTATTTACTTGCCAAATATTAAGTTTTAATTTGAAGGATAAAAGCACGAAAATTGTAAAAAACAAAAATCTTACCGAATGAAATTTTTTCACGCGCCGCCATTTTGATACGAGGCAAAACCTCCCTCGTTTCCAGTTCATCCCCAGTGAATATTGCGAGATCGCTTAAAGTGTCGAAGTATTTATTGTAATAGGAAGCTTGAGTTGAGCAAACAAGAGCCTTGTAGTTCGTTTATTATTTGAAATGTGAAGTACGTGAATTCATTTACGTCAATATTTCTGAAAAAAGAGAAAAGTGATTTCAAACTTCATTTACAGTTATTGTAATAAAATCGTTTCCGGGGCAGGGATGAATGTATTATTCGAGGGATTTATTTATTAATACATTATTTTCAAAATATACAAACTGCTGTTGATTGAATATGTTACACACATGATTGGCTTGATGTATTGGCTTTATGTATTTGTTGTATTTGAATCGGATACATAATTTCTAGTTTATTATTTGAAGTTGCATCATATGTTTTCACCTTCTGAACATTTACAAGATGACAACACGACGCAACACTCTTGGAGTTTTCTTTTTCATGACACTTTTGGGTTTTGGTAAGTAACAGCAATAAATATATTTATGTTTATGCCTCAGCTCAGCTGGGCTGGGGGAGAATAAAAAATGTATCTTAAATTCCGAAACTTTCAGATATTTATGATATTTACTCAATCGTCAATCAGATAACCTAAATTCAAAAATGTTTCTCTGATCAACCACAGAGTTGTTTTATGTTTTTCCCAGTACAATTTGAAAATGGATGATGTTACAGATTGAGCCAAAAAGGTAACCAAAACAAATCTCAATGACTCAATCATTCAGCATGAGTTTGAACTCGCTTTTTAGAAAATTATAATATGTTCAATGTTTTTCTTTCTACCAAGTCTAATTGGTCTATGCCTAATGGTCTAAAATTCCGGTGTCGAGTTTCGAGCGAAGTTGTTCAATACTCGGGCATAAACATCTTGTGTGTAATGTTTCAAGGGTTGTTAGTATAGACATTAGCCCCCAGATAAAAAAAAATGGGGCGTTCCGTCCATTTCCAGTGTGTGTGGCCCGTTTCAGCATTTTTAGCATGTGTTGTAAATGGCCATAAAATCGTGACCATTGAAGACATACCATTCAAAATGTACATGGCTTAGATGCTAAATATTATCTTTAACTCGTACTGAATGACTGTGTTACATACAAAAATTCGTCTGGGTTAACTTTTTTAGTTCACACTGTACTAAAAACTAGCTTTTCTTTAAAATCAAAAAGAGTTACCTGGTGAAATATGATCTTTATGACGAGTAAAGTGTCTGTCAGATGACTAAACTTCAAGTCCTTTATTTATACATGTGCGAAAGGTTTTACAAAATATGTCATTTTAAGGTGGTATCATTTCAGGATTAACATCATAAGCTGGAAAGTTAAATGCAGAACTTCATCTTTATTTTCAGGATTAACATCAAAATATGGACCATGTAAAGTGAAATGCAGATCTCTAGGTCTTCGAAGATGTTCAAAGATATGCAGAATTGAAACAGTAATGTTAATGTTAAATCGTTTTGTTAGATCGCATCTGGAAAATAGGTGTGATGCTTATTTGATTTCATACAACAATTAATAAATGGCGACTCCTATATTTATCGACTTTTATTTGCGTTTCAAGAAATAGACGGATATGAGGGTCAATTTAAAAGATTGATGAGCAAGCATAACTATAACTTCGTACAAATGCATTCTAGTATCATTTATTTTGAAATGCAATTACAATATAGAAAAATACAAAATAATCAATTAAAACTGTCACTTGATTCGATACTGGACTGAATCAATTCAACGTGCAATTCATTCATTCCAAACAATTGAACATCCATTCTATCTTAAGATATCATTCATTCAGTTTTTCGAAGTAGCGAACGACACAACGAGATTCAAACATTTTTCAAAGTTGACCACCACCTCCCCACCTCCAATCCTTTTAAATGCTTTCTTTTGCTTTTATGATGTTTTCTCTTTACAATAGTAATTGTTGGCATTCACACTCATTACTTCGTTCTAACCCCCAAGTAATTTCACACTCTCATTTTTCGGCAGTATTTTATGTCTAAATTACCCATCTTCCGTACTTTGCGGGAGATCTCTCCATGGGGCTATCTACCGCACTATTCGTCTTGGGAGTCAGGTCTTCGCGATCTACCAAGCATGGTCGGGAGTCAGATACCCCTTTAGTCATCGTGGGGCTATCTACTGCACTATTCGTCTTGGGAGTCAGGTCTCCGCGATCTACCAAGCATGGTCGGGAGTCAGATACCTCACCACCCATTTTCTATCATGGGAGCTATCTACTGGGCATATTCGTTTGTCTGATCAGCCGAGCATGTGTACAGGAGTCAGATACCCCTCTTTACGTAATACTTCATTACGTAACGTCATTAATTACCGTATTCTTGAACAAGAATGACTTTGAATGCCACTTTATACAATAGCGCGTATGATTAGCACCATACGCGCCCCAAGCCAAAGTAAATGTTAGGTTATTTTATTCTAGTTTTGTTTTATGTAAATATGTTATCTGTATGACTTTATGAATCATAAACATGTATGTCATTATCTCTATTTGATTGTTATGTTATTTGTAAATGACTTATATAACTTACAATACGACATACAAAATCTGATAACAAGTATATCCCTGTGTTAATTCCTAGAACTGATAGTTCTGAATTAAACAAAATAATACCTTCTTATGTTTCGTGCAGTGTAAATACTATAATCGTATATTTATTTAAATTTACACATTGTGTATATAGAACTGTAGGGAGGGGGCTAGGAATGGCAACCATATGAGTAAAAACGCGGCCCAGTGACAGATTGGGAGAAATCTGTTAATATCACTGGTTTTGTGGTTTTACGATTTATTTGTTTGATGTCTTATTTTGATTCGCACTTTTATAAATTATAATTAATGAAGACCTGCATTTGAAGGAATATGTAACACAACAATAAAAAATCAAAAACATGAGATTCTTCTTAAACGATGTTCAAAAACAATATTAAACAATTAAAAGTATTAAAAGTCGATTGCGACCTTGATATTCCTTTTTACAAACATTTTAGATGTAGTCTACCATAATTCATTGTTGCGAGCACATGTTTTCAGAGATATCGTATTTGTTTTAACATAGTTAAATGATAACAACTAAAAGTTTCTTAACCTGTAGTGTGATACCATTGATATGACTTGTTGGAAGACCTGCTCAGCTTCTATAAATGGTCCAGATGCTGCAGATCACCTCCGTAGATGTATTCAACAGTGTAAAGTTGGGAAAACCTGCGAGGCAGCTTGTAACAAAAGTAATTAAAAACTACACAATCTGTAACGTGATCATGGACAGTTTATTTTGTTTTTGAAAGTTTGACCTTTTCACCTGGTAGTATTGAATACGGGAAATATTTAGGTGAATCATAGGACAATATACTTTTAACCAAACATGACGATTAGACGTACATCATCTTAATGCTTTAACGTCTATTAATATTCGGATTTCTTCCTCAAAATACTAAAACGAGTGAAAGACAACCATGGTCAGACAGGACGTGGAAGTTTTTACTGTCTAATTCAATTATGGTTGAAAAATATTTTTAAGCCGGCTTCACCAGAATACTTAAACTAAAAGGTTATCAAGAAGGTCCAGTTTTCACAAAGGATGGGCAATTTTACACTGTTTTGCCATGGATAGGTGAGATCCATAGAGTTGACTTGGAAAATAAACAGGTACATATTTTCTCTGTAACTTTCTACCATCATTAATTATCACACCATCAGGGGATATTGTCTGATCGTGAGGTGTCCCGTGTTTTTGTCATCGCGCTTTCAGGAAAACAGTTTATTTGATTTCATTCAAATTCATGCACATGATAGAATATGCCAAGTTGTATATAGCTGTTTGACTTTTGGTCTACCACCTTGTTTTTCTGGCGGCCATGTTGGAAGTGTTTTGATGAATCTTGTCATAGCAGTTCCATACTAGTACCACGGTGTTATAGCATGACGGTTACGTCAAGGCGATTTGCAAAATTTTACGGTAACGATAGCAAAAAAATGGCGGATTGGAAAGGCAACATGTCCTCTTTCTCGCCTGTAGGCAATATTCACAGATAAGATTTCCTTTAAACTAGTTCCATTCGGTGACGTATATATGGACGGTTATAAAGACTGGGTCAATCTGCCAGGTGGTCTACAAGAAACAAAATATAAGCTGTAAACCTACCGACTGAAATATCCAAGTTCATAATTTTTGGTCCATTCTCGTGTTTTCTCAGTACATGTGTCTCAGAGCCACTCAAAATATTAACTGTAAGTAAACTGTGTATAAAAAAGGCATAAAATGACAAATCAAGTACAAGAACGTGGTGTATATCGTAAATAATAAGGTTTCAAACGCAATGTCGTTAGACGACTACTTATGACTTCTATCGAATTCTATGGACGGTAACGTATTGTATTAGTTGTACATTCTGTAAGATATTTAGCGGACGGTTACGTGCCTGTACATCTGTCAAGTCAAGGTTGCTAGATCCGATAACCTCTTTCCATATTATTGTTATAATGGGTAAGAAATGGAATATTGAATTTCCTATATTTGTTTTCAGGACTCTAAAGAGACGCTCTTGTTTCAGCCTCCATAGGGTAAGGAAAAAACTGTCGCTTGCTTTATTAATGAAACCAATGAAAGTGTAAAAGATAGCAATGAAGAGGCAAAAGAAGATTGAGGATCAAGTACTGATGAAGATGACAAAATTAATGACAATGAATCGGGGTTTCATATTTGAATCAGGTTCGCGTAACCGTCCATCAATTTTTTACGTTACCGCAAATTCAAAATACATTATTAGGGCTTCAGTAGAACATATACGGTGGTTTCTTATGCTCAGTTGGTTTTGTATGATCGTATGTAGGTTACATATATATACCCCAAAGTTTTTAGGCAATGTAGACCATGCCCTAACAACAAAAATAAACAAATTTCTAAATTTTGTGTAGTTTTGAATTTCAAACTCGACAGTTTTTCTCCTATTTCATGTTATCCCCGGGCATCAATTTGCAAAGACTACGTTCAAAATATACATTACTGAATACATCACCGAATGCGACGCTTACATAAATCATTCATCCTTTCATTGATACAGCGTAGTAGAAAATAATGCACCAACCTTAGTTTTCCCTTCCATCGCGGCCATTTTATTGGATAAATCAGTGAACGTAGCCGTCCAACCTCGTTTTCAGAGGTGGCGTAACCGTCATGCTATAACACCGTGAGTACACATGATAGAGGATACCAAGTTCTAGCGTAGATTAACTCCAAGGCGACCATATTGTTTTTCTAGCGGCCACTTTTTGATGAATGTAATACTGATTCAAGAAAACTGCTCAACAGATATTCTATTATTTTTGGGTGCCCGTCTTATTTTCTGGTGGCCTTTTAGTAGTTTTCGATAAATCTTGTAATAGTGATTCCAGAAAAAAACGCTCATTGGATTCCCTTCATATCGGTAAACACATGTTAGAAGATTCCAAGTAATAGAGCAGATTACTTTTGGGCTGCCATCTTGTTTGAGTTTGTTGCCATTTTGGAGTCCTTTGATCAATCTTGTCATCGCAAAAGAAAGGAATATGACCAATCAGATGTTCTTCAAATTTGTTCATATGATATGGGATACAAATTCCCGCGATATTTTATTTTTGAGGAGCCATCTTGTTTTCTTGCGGCCATCTTGGATTTTTTAAGTCGTGTTAATGACTTGTGTATCTATTTGGTGGTGTGATTTCATTCATTGTTGTTGTGAAAACAAATACTAGTTCTATCATCTGGCCGGATTAACGAACACCATTCATACGATGGTACTTGAATGAATGGTGTACTTAAATTCAAATATAGACTTCTAATATCTAAAAATCAAAATCAACGCAGTTCTTAATTTTTGAGGAAAACTGCTGAGTCATAGTAGTACAGTATACGTTTGCCAAATTGAGAAAATCATTTCAGAAAATGTAGAGTCTTTAAATTCAAGATAAATTTTGATTTGCTATTTCCACAGTCTAGTGTATTGGTTATCCCATCAGTAGATGGGTTTAAAGGGCTTCCAGTAGGATTACAAAATGACCCTGAGAAGAATATTTGGCTTGCTGATGGAAGACTTGGCTTATTGAAAATGAAGCAAGACGGGTCTTTTAATCAAGTAAGACAGAAATGAGAATGCTGTTACCATCATTCTGATATATTAGATTTTTTGTAACCTGGAGAGCACATGGATGTTTAACAAACACTCAAAACTTTTAAAGAATACTTGTGCTGGCCTAGCTACGTAGAAAATAACTTTGTATCGTGTTTCAATATATCTGTACTATTGATTGCAATAAGAAAAAATGTTAAAACTATATTTCTCTGAACTGCTTTTTTGTTCTTCTGAATTAACAGGATCTTAAGAGGTTCTGGACAAATCATTTGATTCTGGACTTGTCATATTTTTTTTCAACGAAATCACATCCAAGGGTTGAATTTTTATTAGCTATTTAGAGAGTGAGTCCTGCCTAGTATTAATTTCAATAAAAAAGTTAAAATAGAACCCTATTTGAGAGTCATTCTAATACTTACATTACATTCATTTGATAAATTAATCAAATCCTAAATATTTTTAAAGTGCATTTTTTATGAAATATTATCCAGCAAGTACAGGGTGACCGGAAAAAAAGGAGACCATTGAAATAGGCAATATCTCCTAAAATAGACTAGTGACATCAATGAAATTTTGCATACATCAGGACAGTTCTATGGAAATTTGTTCCTGAAAGTGTCAATACAAGCAGTCAACTGGTTCAGGAGCTATGATCATTTACATAACATGCTCCAAATAGGTGCAATTGAGACCAACGCAGAGCTGGATACATTTGGCAAATACCCTTACATATTCCGACCTTGTTATGGCATTACATTTAGCATTTATTGCCACCTTTAGGTCAGCAATTGTCTCAGGATTGTTTTGGTACACATTGTCTTTCAAATTGCCCCACAAAAAGAAATCAGGTGGATTCAAATTTGAGGTGTATGGAGACGAAGCTTATCTGACCTATGGCTTCTGACTCAGTGGTCCCACTCAGTTACAGTATCATCCTAAGGAGGTTTTGGGCAGCCCTTGGTTTCCATATGGGATTTAATTGTGCCATATAGTGGTTTTAGTAACATGGCACTATGCCCAATACCTAAAGTGACTCTTAAGATTGGGTAAATCAGCACTTTGGCAACAGGATGATGAACCACATGTCAGATAACCCTTCATTGCCATTACAGCCTAGACTTGAATCCTGCTGATTTCTTTTTGTATGGATATTTGAAAGACAATCTATACCAAAACAATCCTCAGACTATTGTTGACCTAAAGAAGGCAATCACTGCTATATGTAATGCCATAATAATGCCATAGAGGGCAGAACATGTAAGGGTAGTTTGCCATATGAATCCAACTCTGCGTTGGTCTCAATTGTGCCTATTTGGAGCATGTTATGTAAATGATCATAGCTCCTGAACCAGTTGAATGCTTGTATTGAAACCTTCAGTAACAAATTTCCATATAACTGTTCCAGTGTATGCAAAATTTCATTGATGGCACTTGTCTAGTTTAGGAGAAATTGATTACTTCAATGGTCTCCTTTTTTTCCGGTCACCCTGTATTTAGATGAAACGGTCTTATTTAAATACAAATCATAACATGATGATATTTTTCATGAAACATTTTTCATTTTTAATTTAGGTGAAAACCCTTACACGATGATGTGTTTTCATAACTTCTTTCATAAAATTCCATCAAGGGGTGAAGATAAAATGATCGAATTTAAGTGATTTAAGGATCACGAGAATATGTTTTCTTGGATATTTTCTATGAAATCCCATCCAATGGTCAAGGTAAAATTTTGATTTTGATTTTGTATTAGGTCACGTGTTCCAAAGATCCATATAAGGCCCATAGAACCATATAGGAACGTAATTTTGAATGTCACGTGATAGATCCATATAAGGCTTTTAGAACCATGTCGGGAAAGATGAGGGGAAGCCCCTGACACCTGTTTCACGATTTTATCCGAACGTTGTTCGGATCATTTCGGTTTTTATGCACTTCATTATTGTACCGAAGTTTGCCGATTCGATTCGTCGTATTTCGGAATCCTGGTGACAATTTTATACTCCATTTGGAGTATTTTTGATCTACTTCTTATGACGAAAATTCCCGAGCCTAGTTCGGATTAAACCGGATTTTCTGACCTACCTTATCTACCGAGATTTAACGAGTTACATTCGTCTCATTTCGGAATCCTGGTGACAATTTTATACTCCATTGGAGTATTTTTGATCTACTTTTTCTGGATTTTGCCCTACTTATTATATCTTGACAACAAGCAAATCAAAAAGTTCGACATGAACGGGTCTCGATCAAGTAACATAGGGCGTGGAAGCCAGGCGCGCTAACCATGAGGCCAACGTGCTACCGATATGAAAGAACAAAAGTATTATATATTTATACCGAGCGTCAATTCAAAATGATCCTCACTTTTGACTCCACTTAAATAAGACTCATCAGTTGTATCCAGAATAGGTGAACGCCTATGGCGCTAGTGAATAACCCAGTCCCAGGTGAGTGGTTCGTATCCCTCCGTGATATACTATTTTTGTTTTATTAAATACGACAGAAAGGAGCAAGGTGTAGTTTGAAAACAAGACGTTAGTTTGTTTCAAAACAGTTTGGAAACATTAATCTCTGATAATTTAAGATTTTCCACTCCTGAAGGGCCTCTAGATCTATGAAATTCATTAATCAAGACAGTGTAAAATTTTTAGATATATGTTATACATTTTCATACTTTAGCCTGTGGAATCAACTAAATATTTACTCACTTCGAGAGCCATGTTAGATTTTGAAACTTATGGCTCTCAAACGGAGAAGTGAACAGCTGATCAATAGTGACCTTTGAAATTGAATTAAGTCGATCCGCGGCTTACTTTTGGTCTCTAACTGTGTCTTACATCAGTATCATCAATCCGTGTAAGTATTGGAGCGCTGGAGTACTTCTTTTTCGATCAAGACTTGTAAATTGTTCATCGAGTTAAAGTTTTACAGACCTATTTCCAATATGGCGGTTTGCTAGGTGCGAGATACGCAACGAACGAAATGAATTTTGAGAATTAGTTAGGTTCGGACAACCTCCGGAGATTTACGAAAATGTCCGAGCAGAAACCGCCATATTGGAATTTGGCAGTAAAACGATTCACTCGACTAACGAATTACAAGTCTTGATCGAAAAAGAAGTACTCCAGCGCTCCAATACTTACACGGATTGATGATACTGATGTAAGACACAGTTAGAGACCAAAAGTAAACCGCGGATCGACTTAATTCGATTTCAAAGGTCACGATCATTGAGCTGTCCAAATGCTCCGTGGGAAAGCTATTATATCAAAATCCAAATAGCTTTCGCAGGAAGTAACTAAATATTACATTTTGGATTTCATTGATATCCTGTCATAGTCCTAAATTTTTTTTCTATAACATTATTTTTTCAACACATTTCCCTGACATTGATACCGTTTCAAAATTCCCGGTCATCTTTGGCCCTTTTGACCTAATTTTAAAATTACCTGACATTTCCAGCACTTGGAAAATTAAGTCAATTTCCCTGACATTTGCAGGTGTGTACGAACCCTGGAAATATCCCGAGGGCTCGCCCTATGAATCGCTAGCACAGATTGGATTGATTAGTTGGATAAACAATCAAATTTCAGCATTAAGCATTGCAAATTCAGTTCAAAGCTTCTATAAAGGGAGTCCAACTTATAGATTTTGAAGATCAGACTCGTTTAAAGAAGAATATCAGCAGCTTAAATCACGCCTGGTGATCATACAAAATGGATGGAGGGGGGGGGGGAGTAGGCGATTTCTGCAAAAAAACTCAACAAAGGAAGATTTATTTTTTTCAAGATAAAATTTACAACTGAATTGCCAAATGAATAGGCGCAGTGCATGGCAAAATATGTAAGGTCTTCTAGTATTTTTTTTGAACTGATACGCTTCTAAGATATGAGATCTATTATAAAAGGCGCATCATCATCATCATCAACGTGCAAAAGTCAATGTTTTTGCAATAAATCAGGCAACAATGGTCTACACGACCTGTAATAAATAGGTATGAGGGGCGTTATTATCACAACACTGACATTGCTCACTTTTTAAAGTTGTTTCAATGCCTTATTCAAAAAATAACCCCATTGTTACAAAATCACAAAAAGTGAAATATCTATTCTTGTATTGCATTTTCTTTCACTGGACATATTTTAATTTGCATTGCTATTAGATACATTTTAAGGGTGATATGAAAATTGAACTACGAAAACAGATGTACTTTAAGTTAAAGGGAACTTTCTACCATACCCGCCATGCTATCTGACCCAAACGAGCCACCTTGTGGTGAGACTGGTAACTACCTGCTCGCATCTGCGTTATTACGCAGAGACATAAACCTATACACAAGGAAACGATGGGAGCTAACCTATTTTATCTCTGTATACATTTTAACTTTAATACATCTTTACAAAAAATACAAAATACCTGTATATTGATTTTTTGACCTTGACCGATTCTTGAATTGAATCGAATTTGTCCAAAGGTCTTGAAACGTAAAATACCTAAATATTTATCTTTGACCTTGGGATGACCTTGTACAAGAAACATTAATGTTGACCTCAGTTCATCTAATAATTCATAATACGCCAAGGGCCATAGTATCATCAAACGCCAAATACCTAGGCATTGATCGTTTACCTTTGAATGAACTTAACTCTGACCTTCGGAGACCAACTTACTAAGGTTAAATGGTGTAGAAGGAGATGTCCCGACAGACAGACAAAATGACAGACAGACCGAACATTCTTTATAGTAGGTCTCGACATCTCCTTTTGCCCTCATACTTGATGGGCCAGTGAGCGTTCTACTAAGGTCAGAGGTCAAAGTCATTCTAGGTTAAAGGCAGAATCAGATATATGGAGGTGACAAAATTACAAGCAACATGTACAACTGACGTACACTGTTCCTTACAATCTCAAATACAATATCTCACAAAATATTTACGATATGTTAGAAATTGATGAAGTTATAATAGATTAAAAGTGCAAAATTGTAAATAATAAGTAACCATTCTTATAGAAGAAATATACAAAAGTCATTGTTGTAAACTCTTTAGTTTTCCTGAAATAAAGTGTGCACTTTGGGGATTTTTAGAAAATAGACATGAAAAGGAATGACATAAGCCAGAAATATTCTAAAATTCAAACAATTTTTTTGTTAGACTGCTTGCTAGATCCGATTCTCTCTTTAAAATGTCAATATCTAGGTTTACGCATTTTTACCCTTGGTCTGAGATTCGACCCTTGATGAGGCATGATTAGGTGACCTGAAGTCAAGGTCATTCCTATGTAAAATATCAATATCTAGGTATTTGGTGATATAAAGTCCTTTGGGCTGCTGTGACCCTTGGCAACCAACGATTAGGTGAACTGAGTTCAAGGCCAATGTAACTGGGTCAAGTTTGTTTCAAGATCAAAAATTAACATCTAAGTATTTGGCGTTGTAAGGACCTTGAGGGCTACAATGACCCTTGACGACACATGATTAGGTGACCTTAGGTCAAAGTCAATGTGTATTGGCCAACATTATTTCAAGGTCACATCTAGGTACTAGTATCTGGTATCACGAGGTTTCAACAACTTCATCTCAATTCAAAAATCAGTCAAAGTCAAGTTATCAATACAGGTATTTTGCATTTTATGGAGACTGCTGCTATGTGGGGACCCTTCGTGATCCACTCGAACATGTAGATTTCTAGTATTTGTAAAGATGTTTAAAAGTTAAAATGTATACTTTCCATGAGCTCCTATCGTTGGATTTAAATAAGGAGTATGATTTTAAAATTGGCTGGGTCGTGGTTATGCAACAATAGTATGTTCGAAATACCGCTGTGTAATGCCTGGATCACATTTGGTGCGAGTATTTTGTTCAAAATTGAATACATTTCTGAACACAATACTCAATCGGCCGGGCGCCGTAGTGAAAATCGGAGCAAATGTGACCAAGACATAAAACAACTGAATAATACACAACTGTATCAGTTTCACATTTACCGCGGTCAAAAGCATTTACAAAAATACCGCAAGAGTTGGCAATCATATAAAATGAAACCAATCCCGCTGTGATTCATAGAAATAACTAATTTACTGCATTGAGCTCAATGTTATAACCATGTCGATTTACATAAGTGTCCGATTCATTGTACCAAATTTAAACCTTGACTGTTTCCCAGAAAGCAATAAGCTGACATATATCATATTTTACATTTTAATACAACTGAAAAGATAATAAATGTTTTAATATAAGTTTGACGTAGTTATAAATGTTTTCAGCGTAAAATCAAAGCACAACCATATAATAAAAATAATAAAAAAAATACGCTGGGATTCCAACTGGATACAACTGACGAGTTGTATTTAAGGTGGCCTAAAGTGCTGCTTATTTTTTCGTGAAGCCACTCAGTAAAATTACGACTTCTCTGCACCTTGATGTTCAATCAACATCATTCGAGTATCTATATGTTCCTGACACGTTCTGGCATCCGGTTTGCACGAGAAATTGACGTAAATCATGACTGAAATCGGGAAGACAAAAATATGTGATATTCTTTCAGAATTGTTTATAATAACAATACAAAAACGTTCCCTAGACACAATCCATTTAGGCAGGGTTTGTTTTAAAGTCGAAAGGCCCCAAAAGGACAATACAAACCCAGATTAAACCCGGAAGAATGCATATTTCATGTAATGATTTACATTCATGTAAACAAGTAAAGTACATATAATCCCCATATAAAACACTGGCCTACGTGACATGTAATAATAGGTTCAAATTGAAATATAGAAAAAAAATTCAACATAGTATTTGCTTCCGTATTCTGTATGCCCCTCTACCTGCTTATTAAGGCAATGTATCTTCAAATAAAACCTAAGCCAAGTAGATTAGAGTCTCTGGAACACTTTTGTAAATAGTTTTCACAAGCAATTTTGTTTGTGAATCTCAAATTTTGTCTTCCCGATTTCAGTCATGAATTAAAGTCAATTTCGCGTGCAAACTTTGTGTAGACCTTGCTATTCCCGGACGCCCAAACGTGTCAGGAACACATATATATTTGAATGATCTTGATTGGACATCAGGTTGCAGAGAAATCGTATTTTTACTGAGTGGATTAATGAATTTCATAGATCTAGAGGCCCTTCAGGAGTGGAAAATCTTAAATTATCAGAGATTAATGTTTCCAAACTGTTTTGAAACAAACTAACGTCTTGTTTTTAAACTACACCTTGCTCCTTTCTGTCGTATTTAATAAAACAAAAATAGTATATCACGGAGGGATACGAACCACTCACCTGGGACTGGGTTATTCACTAGCGCCATAGGAGTTCACCCATTCTGGATACAACTGACGAGTCGTATTTAAGTGGAGTCAAAAGTGAGGATCATTTTGAATTGACGCTCGGTATAAATATATAATACTTTTGTTCTTTCATGGTTAGCGCGCCTGGCTTCCACGCCCTCTGTTAGTTGATCGAGACCCGTTCATGTCGAACTTTTTGATTTGCTTGTTGTCAAGATATAACAAGTAGGGCAAAATTCAGAAAAAGTAGATGGAGTATAAAATTGTCACCAGGATTCCGAAATGAGACGAATGTAACTCGTTAAATCTCGGTAGATAAGGTAGGTCAGAAAATCCGGTTTAATCCGAACTAGGCTCGGGAATTTTCGTCATAAGAAGTAGATCAAAAATACTCCAATGGAGTATAAAATTGTCACCAGGATTCCGAAATGAGACGAATGTTAACTCGTGAAATCTCGGAAGATAAAGTAGGTCAGAAAATCCGGATTAATCCGAACAAGGTTCGGGAATTTTCGTCATAAGAAGTAGATCAAAAATACTCCAAATGGAGTATAAAATTGTCACCAGGATTCCGAAATACGACGAATCGAATCGGCAAACTTCGGTACAATAATGAAGTGCATAAAAACCGAAATGATCCGAACAACGTTCGGATAAAATCGTGAAACATGTGTCAGGGGCTTCCCCTCATCTTTCCCGACATGGTTCTAAAAGCCTTATATGGATCTATCACGTGACATTCAAAATTACGTTCCTATACGGTTCTATGGGCCTTATATGGATCTTTGGAACACGTGACCTAATACCAAATCAAAATCAAAATTTTACCTTGACCATTGGATGGGATTTCATAGAAAGTATCCAAGAAAACATATTCTCGTGATCCTTAAATCACTTAAATTCGATCATTTTATCTTCGACCCTTGATGGAATTTTATGAAAGAAGTTATGAAAACACATCATCGTGTAAGGGTTTTCACCTAAATTAAAAATGAAAAATGTTTCTATTTAAATAAGACCGTTTCATCTTAATACTTGCTGGATAATATTTCATAAAAAATGCACTTTAAAAATATTTCAGGATTTGCCTTAATTTATCAATGTAATGTAAGTATTAGATTGACTCTCAAATAGGGTTCTATTTTAACTTTTTTATTGAAATTAATACTAGGCAGGACTCACTCTCTAAATAGCTTATAAAAATTCAACCCTTGGATGTGATTTCGTTGAAAAAAAAATATGACAAGTCCAGAATCAAATGATTTGTCCAGAACCTCTTAAGATCCTGTTAATTGTTTTTATTATTTTTCAACAAATTCATAATGTCTCCAGCACAAACAAATTAGATTATGATGTTGGTTTAAAGAATTGCCTATAACTACATGCATGGGAAAAACTGTATTGAATGAAATGATAATAATTTGAACAAAATATCATTAAAAAAGTTTTTGAAATGAAAAATTAGACTACAATATATAATAAATTTTCGACCACTCGTGTCATCAACGTTAATGTTTTACATTATTTTAATATGCTATAACCGCTATGATGGTAGTTGTCAGATGAAATATACCTTCATTATTTAATCTTGAGTTTGAACACAACGCTTAAGCATGGATTTTCCTAGTACATAGTATGTCAGCCCTATATTTTAAAAAGGAAGTTAGTCTTTTTATAGGTATTGATTTAATTAATTTTTGAAGTTTATTATGATCATTAAGTCAGCATGTTTACTCTAGCAAATATTTTCTAATTATTCTAATTTTAGGTAGCAACTAAAGACAATAAGAATGAACCCATGCAAGGATGTAATGACCTTATATTTGACTATCATGGCAATCTGTGGATTACTGCACCATTTGGCCCCATTGCACCAAATAACTTAACGGAATCAAGGACGGTAATATTCATTCATTGCATATTTGATAAAGTCCCATCAGGCGGCATTTATCCAAATTAGAATCATTTCGTATTTCAAACCTACTGACATTTTAGGTACAAATGTACGGAAGCGATATGGATATTTCTAATTTTCTATATGTACGCTATCCCTCTATTGCGGACGTTCGGCCGGGAGATTTAATTTAGCTGTGTCCATTTTGGTCTCGCCCAACGTTTTTTAACTGTTTTTGGGAGACCGCATTTATACATTTCAAAATCTAAATACAAATGTTTTCACCATTTTTTTTAAAATGTATGAAATTAATGTGGCAACATTCATTTTTTTAATAACTTTAATTCGGTTCTCACTTGGCTTGACATTTAGGCGAGTCGTGGTTGATATGTTAATATAAAATACTTCGCATGCATATATGTACAGCTCTCATGTTTTATTTATTACTATTTCCATTCACATTATTTCAAGGTTCCATTTGGGAGTGTGTACTGCTATAATACGACAACTAATGAAATCATTAAAGTTGCCACTGGATTCCTATATCCCAATGGTATAGCTGTGCAACATGATAGCAATGGGACTCCGAAGAAACTAGTTTTCGGGTCATCATTCAATATAAGTGCCCCTTTATGGAGCTTTGATATAGTTGGCCCTTGTCAAATTGAGAACAAGCAAGTTTGGGGAAATCTACCTGGTAAGTCAAAACCTCGCTATGCAATATCCACATCTATAGACATGCTGTAAAATTGACCAATAATTGATTTAATTATCTTTTAAGAAACTAGTTGTAAATATGTAAGTTTATCAGTTGAGTGCTCATTTGTTTTTACTTTTATAGCCAATCATGTTATTGACGGAATTGATTTTGATGAAAATGGGAACCTATTAGTCACAGAATATAGCTCTGGTATACTATACGTCTTTGACTCAAATGGAGGTGCTCCGACTTGTCAATTAAAGATGCCAATGGGGCACTCAACCAATATAGAGTTTAGGCCTAACTCAAATGAGTTCTACATTACTGGAGATGCATTATTGAAACTACAATGGAAATACAATGGAATGAAGAAATATTGGGAGATAGCTTGAAATGTAAAAGTTTATCATAATAACAAGCTTTAAGTTGAGCAAACAAGAGAGTTATAGTTCCTTTATTGTTTGAAAAGGTGACGTAATTTATCAAGGTTCTGATATACCAAATTCGAAAGGTGTGAATATCAGGATCGGGGTTGCTTTCGAATGTTTACTGGTTACAATATTGTCAAATTAAACATTTCGTCACTGTTAAGTTAATGAACTATCCATCTAAAAATGTTATTATGTATTTAAGAAAAAAAGCAAGAGAAATTTATGTCAAACTTTAACATTTGGACGTAATAGGGGTTAATGTATATAGTATAGTTATAGCTGGGAGTGATTATTTATTAATGAATTTATTTTTAAATGAATTTCAGCTGAAATAACGTTCATTCAGGGGGTTTCTTTATAGATAAAGAAAATAGATGTTAGCCTTGATGAAATATTCAAACTTTGATATATCGAGTGTCCCAAAAAATAAAACACTTTGTGACAAGTATTTTTTGGCAACTGATGAACCAAAGTGGGGGCGAGTTGTTTGTAGAATAAATCGAATCGGGGGATTTTTTCATGAATTTCGCTTATGTTTTTCATCCAAAAAACATCAATACACTTTAAAACATTTTGTTTACTTTAAGATTACACCATGTAATCCAAAAATATATTTCTCGTTTTCAAAGATAATCCATGGATTAACACCCAGGTATTTTTATTTTTCAAACTTCAGAGGGCTGGGAATCATTGATGCTCAACGCTTTTGAATACGATAAATGCTGTTTTAAATAGGTTTTACGTATGCCAATAATTTCTCAAATTATGTAAGCTGAATGCATTCCATAATCCCTAGTATATTCTCTTGGTTCTCTTGGCATGGTAATCCAATGGTAGTTCCAAGCAGATTTTTAGATGGCAGGTAAGTAAATTCTTTAGTACTCGCCTTATTGGGTTGAGTTAGTTTATATTCAAAAATTATATATGATTCTGTAAAGATGTCAGTGTGGATGCTATATAGATTGCACACGTATGGTAAGCTGTATAATCCTATATTATGTAACTCAAGTACAGTTTTGGTTGACATGATTGTGACTGAGTGAGAGATTAAACTCTTTAAGGAAGTTCTGCATGTTGATAATTTTTACTAATTTTGGTGATGAATAAATTATCTGATAATTATAAATTGGGCAATATCTTTGACATTTTAAGTGGATATAAAGAATTATGGTAACATACACATGGACCATGCATACACATACAATTACAAATGTGAAAATATTGTCCCTTTCATTGATTATCGGTATTTATAATTATGAAAATTAGTGAAAAATATCGAGACATATCTACCTTAAAATCAGATTGGCTTACAAGTACCCTAAGCTATTTTCACATTTTTATTGCAAGAAAATCGTTTTGCAAGGGTTACAAAGGTTGAAATATTGTGCTGGCTCTATTTGGCTGGAATTTAATATTCAGACCTAGCTATATCAATCACATTGTACATTATAATGAACATAATAAATAAAACCATGAATGTTGTTCATAAATCAAACTGGAAACACAATCTTCATCAACATCAATTATGGATGGAAAGGCAGTACTTATTTACAAGACATAAAGGATCTAGTGCACCCTCCATTATGATCTCCCCATGAAAAAAATAAATTCATCTGATTTTTAAAAATAAATATACTGCTTTTATTATTACATTTATATGTACACTAGTATCTTGTTGAGCTATATTCAGCACTGGGGCCACTTATTAGGGCCAATATTCAATCATAAAGTGTACAGTGGTAGAGATGCCAAACCAAGAAGTCTTTTGTGTCTGTCAAAATCCATTTGCATCCTACACATCCCAACATATTATCCAAATATGTTATTAATTAATGAAACATAACAGTATAATCTTTGGATTTACAAAGTTGTATGGGATTTCATAAGTGTAAAAGTTGCTTTTGAAGCATTTTTCTATAGCCATTTTGTAGGAAAAAAATGATGGAAAAAATGTATAATCTTTTAATTTGAAGTATGACCTGAATCGATTGCAAACTTTATATTTGCACATCTGATGTGATATACCATTTGTGTCATACTGTGAAATTATTTAATTTGCAATCGATTCAGGTCATAGTGTATTTTAGGTATTTTTGTGAAAATCAATAGAAACCAATGGCCTCCATTGGAATTGATATCCACATGTTAAGTCAATGGAGCCCATTCAATGGCAAGTCAATACACCCTTGCTGAACTAAATGACCTCAACCTCAGCCCATGTGGGTCCAAACGCTCAAATATTTTCCACAGTATTATGTGACATTGTATTCTTTATGTTACACTAGAGGCTGACGGTAATTCCGGTTATACGGTTTCGGTACGGAATTGAGCATTTACCGGTATTGAAATTATTAACCGGTTAACCGACGATAATCCCCGGGGAAATAAAAGACATGTCGTTTTTTTTAATTATTTCGTTTAATTTCCACTTTCACGATGCGTACATTTACATAGACATTTAGATGTCAATGTTTGGCAGTTCAGGTGTGATTTCCATGTTTGGCAGTTCAAGTGTGATGTCCATGTTTGGCAGTTCGGGTGTAGTAGCTTCATGCTCAGGTTCAGATTTGGTTGAAGTTATGTTTGGCAGTTCCGGTGTAGTTGTAAGGGAACATGGGGCAAAACGGCCCTATTTAATTTTAAGTTGTTCTGTACGGGGTATTTTCTTATCTGTCAATCACCGCGCATTTTGATGTTCCACTTTATCAATGGTTTGTGGTTTACATTTTCGAGTGTTTTATACTTTCCTAGGACTACCTTCTGTGATTTTTCAATGGTCAAAAATATTGTCGCGAGTGGGGCAAAACGGCTCACCCTCTGTTACATGGGTTTTAAAACCAAAATTAATAAATTACAAGACTCGTCCACACACATATTATCTCAGACGTTCAAATCTTTGACAGATAAAGTATTTTTAACCCCTACCATAATTCTAGTCATTCGATATGTGTCGGAAGGAAATAAGGTACAAGCCAAATGCTAAAACCGTTATATTTGAAAACCAATTGTTCTTGCACAATAAGATTTGTGTATGTTATAACATGTGTGGGCCGTTTTGCCCAAAAGACATGTGAATTTTCAAATAGACGTCATTTTCATTTGCCTAATATTTGAAGCTCGACATTTTTACAAATAAAGAATAAATGTACATACTCTATGTAAAATGTTAAATTAAAACGATATTCTATTGTTCCGGATTTTTAGAGATTCTCGTGGGAGGGGTAATTTACAAAAAGAGGGTGAAAAGTAGAACTACCTCTTACGTAAAGCGAGACGCTGCTTGGTTAAAAATGGGCGGTCGAGAAGGTGGCAGAAATTTCACAATTCGATTATGTGACTTTTGAAGAACCATCTTTTTATAGTTCAAAAGATATTTCGATGGGCCACTTTGCCCCAGATTGCAGTTTTGCCCCATGTTCCCCTAGTGTCAACGTCAGATCCAGAAACTGAATTATGTTTGTAATAGTCATTTACGAACAACAAGGCATTGACAACCTCAGGTTGAAGTCGTGCCCGTTTGGAAGTGATGGTGTTGCCAGCTGCATTAAACTGGCGTTCACTTGACACGGATGACGCAGGAATAGTTACCGGGAGTTTTGGGTTTTGTTAAAATCTATTTTACCTACCCCACCCCCATGTATACTGCACGTCGCTTGCTATTAATAAGTACAGTTGAGAAATGGTTTGAAAAGTGTAATACTTTTCATTTAAATCTAAAAATACATCTTGATTCGTAAGATACATACTATTTCGTGAAGTTCATCAGTATGGGTTCAAAACGGTCTTGCACCATGTATGCACATAGACTTGAGAAGCTACGGAGAGAGTTAGGAACCGGGTTAGGAACAAAGTGGGGGTGGCAGCGCATTGGCATTTTATCTTACATATTTTTACCGGTATTTCGGTAACGGTACGGTTATTAGCGTGACGGTTACCGGTACTGGTTTTCAGTACCGTTGCGACCTCTATGTTACACCTAAAATGATTCATTTTGTTCATGGGGATATCATAATGGAAAGTGCACTAGACCCTTATTGTAATTGTATGATATCGTATTTGTGATTTGAATATACACTGTGATATTTGAGAAAAAGAATGTTTTGTTTTAGTTTCATTGCAATGTATAACCCTAATATCTTAAAGCCATAATCCTTCCTTGTCTTCCAATTTTCTAATAACCTCAGAAGTTCCTACTTTTTAAAAAAATACAATTTTCCATGATCATTAGCTCACATGGTGAGCTTTTGCAATCGCTCACTTGTCAGTCCGTCCGAAACCAATGCAGCAAAAACAAATGACGTCCGTCCGTCTGTCCGTCAACAATAGTGGCACGTTTTAAAACCTCTGTCGATAGGATTCCTGTTTTAAGTTATTTCTGTTCAACATCAATACAGAAAACTCCCCTATGACTCCTGGCTCAAAAGCTCGCCTATTTTCAAAATGGCCGCCATTTTTGTCTCGCGAAATTCACTTTTGACTGGCACGTTTTAAAACCTCTGTCGATAGGATTCCTGTTTTAAGTTATTTCTGTGCAACATCAATACAGAAAACTCCCCTATGACTCCTGGCTCAAAAGCTCGCCTATTTTCAAAATGGCCGCCATTTTTGTCTCGCGAAATTCACTTTTGACCTATTTCCTAGCTTTACAAATAATTTCAAGTGTCCTACATTGTAAAAAGCCATGTCAATGTAAAGAGTAGATGTATGAAATAATTTTGTTACGAAAAATCAGCAAAAAATTATATCCATTTTTTTATTTTCAGCCATTTTAGTTAACATTGATTTGTCCATCTGTCTCGCAAAATCCACTTTTGGACCATTTGCCTTAAACCCTCTGTCGATAGGATTCCTGTTTTAAGTTAATTTTGTTCAACATCAATACAAAAAAACTCTCCTATGACTCTTGGTTCAAAAGCTCGCCTATTTTCAAAATGGTCACCATTCTTGTCTCGCGAAATTCACTTTTGGCCCATTTCCTAGCTTTACAAATAATTTCAGCTGTCCTGCATTGTAAAAAGCCATGTCACTGTAAAGAGTA